TTTTACACTGATGAAGCCTGTTTTGGCGAAACGTTTGTAATAAAACATTATTATTGATCTGTCTGGAGTTCGCATTTCCTTCTCTATACCTATCTATAATATTTTAAGCGTCGTGTATCCTTTGGATCCTCCAGACAAGTGACATCAACGTTGACAAGCCAGACTATATCCATACCATTATATATATATATATATATATATATATATATATATATATATATATATATATATATATATATATATATATATATATATATATATATATATATATATATATATATATATATATATATATATATATATATATATATATATATATATATAAATATATCCTTAACCCATTGAGTGGCAGCACTCTCCCCCCTGACAAGTAAAATGTCTGGCATAGTAGTCAGAGTAAAATAGTCTGGCGTTATAGACAGAGTAAAATAATAAAATAGGGCGCATTGCCACTTAAAGGGTTAAACTGGTTAATTGAACTAACTATTAACTAAAAAAAACTATGTGTTAAATGCCAGTTTAAGTTCTTTGTAACATGTGCATTAATAATTTGTTATACTTTAATTATATAGTTTAACACACCCTGATAAATAACTCGAATGTAAAATACAATGTCCAATACGGCAACTTCTCAAAGGAATTATTAAAACAATTTATATAAGAAATTGCAAAATATTATTATAGGAAGTTATTGTTGTAATAGAGATAATATAATTTTAACGAAGTGGCTATTTGTACTGGAATATGGCACCCGATTCTTACATTTCGTAAATTAGTAATATAAAATAGTTTTTTGCAACCGCTAAGCGAAGCGAATTTTAGTTTTAGCCGTCGGTTTTCTGTTTGACTTAGAAATTTTCTTAAACTATTAAACTAAAAATTTTCCCCCAACTTTTTTAACTTTCAAATAGTTTATTAGACATTTATTGGTTAGGGTTAGAGAAGGGACGAAGGGTTTGGGGTTGGGGTCTGTTTATCTTAAATATTCCAACTGCAGTACGAATCTAGCAAATCAAACTCGGCGTATTGTTCCAGCACGAATAGCTACTTCGTAATTTTAAAGCAAAAGTATATGCAAGGGAAACAATAGTTCTGGGTCTTGACTTATACAGTGTTCCGAGTTTACAGTATTAAAACATTCATACAAATGGGGGGGAGGGGGGTGCATAGATTTTTCAGCATTTTATAGGGGGGTCTTCAACATTTATATCATCAAGAGGAGGGAGGGCTTCGAGATTTTTGTATATGACATAAGAATCCCCCCTCCCCCCCTAGGGTATAAATAATGAACGGTCCCTTAGGCATCTGTTACTTTTTGCAGCAATTCATCGCTTGGCCATGTATAACTTCGTTCTGCCCATACTCTCGCCATAATTGTTTGCTAATAAAACTCGCCACTTTCGCGCACAGTTGGTTTGCACACGTTACGCGTAATTGTAAGCATGAATGCACAAATCATTAAAGTGCACTCTTCCGTCAACCATTATTCTAACTTTAATTGCATGCCTTCAATTCCTTCGTGGATGCAGTCATTCTCTAAGACTGTTAGAGCATGGTCACTTGTGCTCTACATGGGATATAGAGTCCCTCGAATTAGTTAAAAGAGTAAAAAGACCAATCGGGGCCTACGGCCCCTCGTGTCCTTTTAACTAATTATCTGGACTCTATATCCCATAGAACACACGTGACCATGCTCTAACCATTACTTAAACCATTACAGTATATAAACTAATAAACTATATAATTTTAAAATATTGCAGCGTATATTCCACAATTTGGGAGCTGAGGCTGCAAAAGCACGATAAAATGGTGATTTTGATTTTAAGATTGGTAAAAATACGGCCGAGTCACATGAGTTTCCAGCTCAGACGGAATGCTGTTCCGCTGATTTGTTCTTAACGCATTGCTATACTTATGTTTTAGGAGAAAGTTGAAATTATTTTCATTGACATTGTAATTACGTGATTTATAACCGCAACAAATAAAGCTGGGGTCAACTAAAGCTGAAAGTGAACTATATTATTACGAACAGTATTATTTATATTATATTATATTGTAACCCAATTTTGTTATATATTTACTACCGTGACACTGCCTCCTTGTCTATCAGATATTTAAGAAAGGAGCCCAAATCTTAAAAGCCTTTTGGTTTCTTTTTGGGCTACCTTGCTACTTATTATTATTCCTAATTTTGAAATACTTGTATATGTGTGTAATGTAGTGAATAAATTGATTTGATTTGATTTGGTGGTGTCATCTAAAGCTGGTGTCAACTAAAGCTGGTGTCGAAAGTTCAAGTGCTACCCGTTTGGTTTTGTCAGTTTTGGCTTTAGCATTGTCTTGCCTCATCAAAAACTTGTAATTACGGATGCAGTAAAAACGTTTACTTGTATGATAAAAGACACTAGTTTTTATTAAAGGACGATATAAATATGTGCATTCCAAATGGTCCGCAGACGAATTTACGTACAATGCCCAACTCGCATCTCGTCAGTGAACATACTATACTCCAGCTCTTGCTACGAATACAGTTTTTAACTATTATAATGTACACAAAACCAGTTTAAACACTACTATATTCAATATTATATATTGTTTTACTGTAATATATTTAGTAAATTAATATCGTTAGTACATTAAGACATAAGTTTCACAAAATGTACACAACAGCCCGCGAAGTTCACAGTATTCATTTAGGTATATTGAAAGTGACTATATAAGGTTATAGCATTTATAATTCTGGTGTAATTAGGCTATATTTCTAGTAATACTGGTTACTATAAGGGGTCTATAAGGGACGGACCATTAGAAAAGTGATGGGGGGGGGGGCAAAACCAAAACAAATTCCTAGCTTGGAAGATAGGCCTATAAATTTCACTTAAATTTCCAGCCATCAAGTGAGAAAACAAATATATTTCTTCTATAGGTGTACAGAAAAAAAATATTGGCTCTTATAAAATCCCCCCCCCCCCCCTTTCTCTTTTAATGGTCGGTCCCTAATTGGCAATAGGCTATAAACAGATCGAAACACTGTTTAACTTATTTACACAATCAGCTCATCAACATTGCATATATCGCATATAGACATGACAGAGACATTCTGGCAAGCTTAATTAATGGCAATTTACGGTGGGATATCAACAACCACCACAACCATCACAGCCACCACACCCATCACAACCACCACACCCATCACAACCATCACAACCATCACAACCACTATCACAACCACCACAACCACCATAACCAGGACAAGCTGGACAATCATTATCGCATAGACATTGCCAGAGACATTTTCGCAATGTACAGACAATTATCACAACTACAACGATTACAATCAGTACAAAGGTAACGGTGCTAATTATAACTATTAAAGTGGTTTCAGTGGAAGAAGATTGATTACTTGGTGTAGTGCTTTGAGAATGGTTCGTTGCTCTGGTACTTGAAATGAAACCGGCTATAGAAAGATAAATGAGGATAAATAATAAATACATGCAGCTGATTCATAACTCGCTTTTGTTCTGTTTATAGGGAGCCCCTCTTTATATGCTTGAAGAATGAAAAACCAGAGGCAGAGTTACAGTATATATACAGGGTGTCTCAAAAAAACGCTATGGAATTTCAACAGGCTGTCGTGCATCATAAACTTAACTAAACAATTCAATTTTTATATAGGACGAAAGAGCTGTTATTTAGCTTTTCAATGATACCTGTTTCAAATCGTAACGATGAGAAATGGCCACATACTCGTCAAACAAATATTGCCGGTCGAAATCACATTCTTGCACCGTTGGGATTGAAAATACATTAATTATGCAAAGTTGGTCAATCCAAAAGCAACGCGAGCCTGCTGCAAGATATTTGTTTCGTAAAACGTTTTGATTACGAATGTTCTCAGTTCAGGGGTTAATTGAGCTCGTTTTAGATAATTTAACATTCAATTTTAATGCCCTCTTGGGAATTGTCTATGTTTCGTTTTCCACTACGCAATTCCCAACGGTGGAGAATGTGATTTCGACCGGCAATTTTTATTTGACTAATATGTGGCCATTTCTCATCGTTACGATTTGAAAAAGGTATCATTGGAAAGCTAAATAACAGCTCGTTCGTCCTATGTAAAAATTGAATTGTTTAGCTAAGTTTATGATGTACGACAGCCTGTTGAATTTCCATAGCGTTTTTTTTTAGACACCCTGTATAGGTTCTTTCCCAAACAATGGAAATCAGTACCACCAGTGCTATTTAAAACACGAGCAGGAGTCCTTTATTAGATAGTATAAAACACAAGGCGACAGCCAGTGCCGTAACGGAGGAAGAGGGGGCCCTTAGGCTTAGGCATATTTGGTGTGGGGGCCCCTGTTGACTGTTTGTTAGACTGAGATATTTTATTTAGCTATATTGAATATTTATAGAATGTTCTGGAAAATTCTGATGAAATAACAAAATCCGTTGTTGATGGACATTTTATTATTTAGCATTATTAATTTTGCATTTTCCCATTGATTTTTAACCTGCATTTTTTAAGTATTCTAATTTCCAGGGTGATAGGCCGTGGCTGATGGGGGCCCCTAACTGTCGGGGGGGGGGGGCCTTAGTTTTTGAACTAACCCTACCTGTAGTGACCGTTACGCCTGATAAAGCATGGACTAAAAGTGTTTTAAATGGCTTAAAAAACGACCCATTTTGACTTATGAGTTAATTGGCGATCAGTATTTTAAAAATCAACGTTGTCTAAGGGCCTGTGCATATGAGGAAAAGTTATCCCGGTTAGCGAGATTAACCAAAATTTCGACTAACCAAATAATTTTGTTCTGTTCATATGGAGAAACGTTATCCCGCTTTATACCGGATAAAGTTTCCGGCTGTGACGTAGCAGTGGTGTGACGCGCAAGGCGGGAAAAGTAAAAAAAAGCTTTAAAATTTATTTTAAAAACAGAAAAGTTGCTGACACGACAGAACGTTTTCCCGCTGAGCGGGAAAGTTGTGGCTATGTTGTGTTCATATGGGGAAAACATTATCCCTGTCACCGAGATCTCGCCTGCATCTCAACAAGCGAGATCACGATACACAGGAAAGCCTTTCGTCTCATATGAACAAGGCGAGATCTCGCTTGTAAACTTGTCGAAATGTTTTCTCGCTAACCGGGATAATCTTTCCCCATACGAACAGCCGCTAAGCCGAGAAAATCAAAGCTAAAAAAGTTTATGTAAATTAACGTGATTTTGTATCACATATATTTTCCCCATGAATTAGTAATGAATTTTTAAAAATAGATTTAACAATTTGCTTTATGTGCTTAATGAAAAGTCCACAAAATATGGTTAAAAAGTTAACCTGAGACCCTTTGTATATTGAATTAAAAATATTGCGCGGCCTAAATCATGGACAACATGAGTGGGCCATGATTTTCAAAACTAGCTATAGTCACTGGATCGTGATTTCCCATAGGAGGGATATGTTGGGATATGTTGAATACCAAGAATGAGTCGAAATTCTGAAAATTTTGTACTGAGACTACGATAGAGACGTTTGCAGTAAAATTTTATAAAAACCTGCCTTTAGCGCCCCACGTGATGCCACGAGGGCCTGGGACGCACATTTAATTTAGGGAAGAGTCTTTTACTTGTAGTATCATGACGAGCCGCACGTTTTGAAAACCAGCGGGATTTGCAAACTGAGTTTGCATTTTTCAGGAAGCGGGTGCAGCTTACCCACCAACAATTAACGCTATGCGATGCCCGTTCAGCATGCGATGCTATGCCCGTTCACCGGTTCACTGTTGTTGTTTATTTCGGTTTCAAATATGTTCCAAAAACGAAGCCAATCGGTTGGTGCGCCATTAGATGGGGTAATCATTAACTTGGGAAGCTTCGTTTGAATTTGATCCGGCTTTTTTGTAGTTTTATCTTTCTTGATTTCATCAACCTTCATGTGCTAAAAATGCAGTTTTTATTCGCATTGTTCTTTCTCAAACTGTAGTTGACAAGCCCGTTCAGCTTCTTTCGCTTTGCTGGCTTCGTTGGCTTTCATTCCATCCAAATATTTTTGTAGCTTTTCGACTTCCGCATCGACTTTTTCGACTTGTTCTTCGACATTTTTGCTCCAATTTGTAATTGTTTCATCGTTGTCTCCCCGTTCAAACTTTCCTTCTAAAATCTGTAAGTTTACCTCCTCGATATTCACAGTAATCTTTATCAATGCTTCGCGTTGTCTTTCGATGGCGACAATATTTGCTTTACTCACAATTTCTGATGTTTTCTCGAACGTAAATTTTAATACTGGGGCTTTAATTTCCCGGTTAAATCTTTCTCTAGTTTATCCATATTTCGATCCCGTCGGAGGTGCCACTTTGTCGGAATGCTCTACTAAAAGGGCCGTCCTTCTCGACAATTCACCGTGTTTTTATCGCCAAATTATTTGATTCTATTTCTCAAATTCATTAATAATTCATGAGCAATTCAGCCAATGATAATCACCTATTTGATCACAAGATGCCATTTGGATAACCCGGTGAAACTTCATGAAAGTCACTAGTGTTTTCATCAAATATCTTCATTACGCATGCAAAATTACTTGAATAGAATTCCTAATTATACGTTATGCTTGGTTAAGAATTCTATTCAAATCAGCAAACGAAAACATTCTGTTACGTCTCGATTCATTTGAGAAGCCATATAAACAACTCGAGCTCGTGTCTCACCGGGATATCCAAACACTCGAAAACAATGTATGAAAACACACGCGCTTCGCGCTCGTGTTTTCATACATTGTTTTCTCGTGTTTGGATATCCCGGTGAAACACTCGCTCTCGTTGTTCATATATTACTTCGTATGTGCTCGCTATATATTCTATGTTGTTTTTTCCTAAATGTCAATCATACAGTAATTATGTCCCTCTGAATTGTGTCCTTATATGGTGTTCATAACTAGAGTTTATAGCTGCCGAACGCCGCGAGGCAGCACACATTCTCGTACCCAGAGCCCTTCTTACGCGCGTTCGACCGAGCGCGACGAGGGGCTCTGGCCAAATCCATATAAAACTAGCATCTGATTGGCCATAGTTCTAATACCGGATATTGTTCTCTTACCATGTTTTTATGGTGTCCGGTTATGGATTTGGCCAAAGCCCCTCGTCGCACTCGGTCGAACGCGCGTAAGAAGGACTCTGTCTGTCTGTCTGTCCGTCTGTCTGTCTGTCTGTCTGTCTGTCTGTCTGTCTGTCTGTCTGTCTGTCTGTCTGTCTGTCTGTCTGTCTGTCTGTCTGTCTGTCTGTCTGTCTGTAAAGATGTCGTAATCCGGGGGGAATAATTAAGCTTTCAGGAACGTTTGTTAAATGAGGGGAGCGGTCAAAACAAGATTTTGTATTGCGCACGCATCTTCTTGTGGCAATTTGCTCAAGAGTTTTCAAGCTTTTAAATACGGATGCAAGAGATAAAAAATATTCGGAAAATGGCGATGACCTCTTTTGTGCATGTTCAATCTAGAGGCAAATAATGTGCTTTTATGAGTTAATATCGGCAGTTTTAACTGCCCAAAATGTCTTATTATTATTAAACACAAGGAGATAAAATGTACTTGCAAGCTCTGGATAATATATGGCTTTGTTGTCTTAGAACCTGTTGTCGAATTGTTATCTGTAGGTAACTTTACCTAAAGTTGTCAGTGTTTCAAGTTGTACGAACATGTTTTCTTAATACGAGATATGTGATTCTAGGATCGACACACGTACAGGGTAATTTTCCAGCTGTAGTGCATGCGAAAATGTTACTCGATACTACACACGATGTTTTATGACTTTTATCGTTTTATTATGTATAGAATCGCTTCAAATATGTTTATAATACTAAGATATAATCTAGAATAACACTAGTTCAAACGCGACGTTTCTCGGAACGTTTTCTGAGCACGCGAGGCGCGCCGCTGGTCGCTCGTACCAGTCTCTAAACTGTTCGCATATATTATCGTTCATTACGGTATCAAAAACAACTACAACACCTGTGGATCCCTTTGATGCACAAAATAAGAACATTTTTCTTATTTCAAGAAACCAAAATCTTGCAGTTCAAATATTTCTTATTTTACGAATTGTTTTCTTATGAGAAAATTATTTCTCAAACCAGAGACACAAAGATATATAAAGGCTATAAAAAGACTGTGGGAAAGTTTGGACCCACAAAAGATTATTCAAGCCGAGATCGAGTTAGATGGAAAGGATAAGCGAGAAGGACGGCTCCTAAATAAAAGATAACAGGGGAAGGGAAGAAGTCTAACAAAAAAACAGGAGCGATTTTGCACGAGAACGCGATTTTAGTATAAATGTCTTGAGTTTGACGACTCAACTGCTCAGAAAACTTGTATATTGCAAAGCAGCCTGTATTTTAGAGACTATGTATTCATTCTTACCAGAACTTTGTTGAGCGATGTACTTCACTTGAAACTTTGGCTGCCTGCTAAATTCTTCTTTTGGTGTAAGAGATTTAAGTATCACAAAAACTTTGTTTCCAGTGGATACAATTGGATTTTTTTGAGTTTTGGAGTCACAATATTTTTCTAACAGAGGTGCGTTTTCGTTAACGCCATCATACACAGCTAAATAACTTTCCTGACATTTTGGTAGCTGCAGTTGGGTAAACTCCATTGAAATCACATGAGATTTTTCCACTTCAATTGACCATGAACATTTGTTAAACTGAGGATTGTCATTTAATGAGCCAAACACTCCTTCGTTTTTCTTCATTTTGTAACGACAGCCTGAAAGTAGTTAAGGTAATGAATGATCAAGATTCAAAGATTTATTTGTGCCAACTATTGTTGTATATAATTTATAAAGAAAGTATATAAATACATAATTAAACAAATGGTCGAAGCACAGGCTATTTAGAATAGCAAAGCTAATCTAGCCAAATAGCCCAGCATATTATTGGATTAATCGACCTTCATAATAACTATTTCATAATAACTACAATATATAATGGTGTTGTTTCGCGATACTTTTGATTGAAAATATATAGCTAGATACATAATTAAACAAATGGTCGAAGCACAGCCTATTTAGAATAGCAAAGCTAATCTGGCCAAATAGCCAAGCAATGCAGCAAATTATTGGATTATTGAAGCTGGATACGACCCAGACATCTTTCATGAACAATGATGGATCGACATCTATAGTTGTACTCAAGACTTTATAGAGATTTTAACTTGTTTGTGCACCGATTAATAAAGACTTTTGAAAGAGAATTAGCCATTCCGAAGTTGATAAGAGGACTGGAGACGAGTGTTAAAAAGTGCCCAAATTAAGAAATGAACCAAATCACTAAAAAGACCATCTCAAAATTAGTAAGTATACAAAGTTTGAAGACGTTTACATGAATATCCTTCGAATAATAAGCTTTCGAAAATTGTGAATTACTGATTAAAAGATTGTTTTTGGGACGCGCGTCCCAAAAACAAAAATTACAATACATTTCATAGCGGTAAATATCACGATTTTCGAAAGCTTATTGTTCGAAGGATATTCATGTAACGTCTTCAAACTTTGTATACTTACTAATTTTGAGGTGGTCGTTTTAGTGATTTGGTCCATTTCTTAATTTGGGCACTTTTTAACACTCGTCCCCAGTTTACTCATCAACTTCGGAATGGCTAATTAGGAGTAACAAATCAATAATTCACAGTAAAATGCATAATAAAATAAGAATTATAAAAATTCTATTTCTCAAATTTTAGAACATGTGCCTGCAAGAAACTTGCTTATCGACTTAATGTACTCAATAACAATACCTTACACAATGGCCTTAATATAATAACAGCAAATTATTAATTTTTGACATGAATATCATCGTAATTTTATCAATAATACATTCTAAAAAGATTTAATTACCTTCATAATAACAGTAATAGACTCTCAAAAATGAGGACGGAAGCAGAATCGAGCTGGATCGAATCCGTTCAAGAAACACGTGATCCCCAGAGAATTTATCAACCGACCTTATGTCCACTGTATCGTAATCAATATACTCCAACCGACTAATAGTCCAGTTAACAAACTGACATCTTGGTAGTGTAGAATTGTTGTGTGGTAGGAGATAGAATGGGCGATGTATTGGCAGCTTAATTGGATCAAACCATCTGCCCATACTTTGACAACAGTAGTTTATCTTCGTATTGGAATTATACACACCATCAGGTAATGTTCCACCATGCTGGTTAACGTTTAAAATATCCTTGTCGTCCCATTGTACGGCGCCCTGAGTCATTCCCGTGGGACAAGCACTATCTTTGCCTTTATAGATACAGTAAGACCCTGTAAAGATAATATCATAACAGACGTTTATATCAGAAAAGAAGTAGTTGGCATTATTGAAGTGACTCGCAACAGGTCTATTGTGCATCTAGTATATTTAAAATCACACGGATGCACAGCAAATGCGTTGCCTAAACGTCTTCCAATTTCTCCAGTGTAAGCATGCTACATGCATTTACGGCAGAAAATGCAGTAAATGAGGTTGGAGAAAATGTATTGAAAGTCATAAGGCCGCCATTTGGACTAAATAGAAAATGTATTCCTCTTGGTACGGATAAATGTGGTACAGGTACTATTTTTATCCATGCGTACCAAAAATTGTGCGTAGTTTAAACGGGTCTAATAATCAATTCTACTATTAATTAGTGTCACCTTGAGGCCATTTTGCTGTCCCAGTGTCCTTCGCGGTTTTTACGCAAAATTTTCTATTAATGTTGCCAGAACCTTCAAGTTGAACATCCATATGAATATTAGATGAAGTATCGGTCTTTTTGCCCAAATCCTGTCTTCTCCATCCTTCTTTCCATGTATTTTTATTTGGGCATCCAGTTTTAGCTTTGGGTAAACCGTATAAACCATAAGGCCAGATATCTAAGCGAAAGTCGAGTCAGTGTTAATATATGAATAAATATAGTTCTATGACACTGATGACGTTTTGAAAATAAAAAGCACAATCATGTTGGGTGGGAATTTGCAAGAGATGTGTAACAAATATGCACGAACTGCATTTAACCGAGTCACCATTTTGGCATTTATATATTTGTTGCTCTAGCTTGACCTGGTTTAAATCACCCATCCGCAGAATCCGCAGATACTGAATGACTTGAATCAGGGCCTTTTTTAACATACAAGCTGGGGGGGGGGCAAATGCCTCCCAGTCCCCACTTGTGCTCCCCCCGAAATCACATTTTGACACCCCCACCCCCAGGAAAAGTCCCTTTTCCCTAAAATTATAGAAACAAACCAGCGAAGATTAACAAATACATAAACGAAAAGTAAGTTTTAGCTAGGCTTTAATTGTCCTTGTTTAACAAAATCGATTTAAATTGTTACTTTTTTCTACCACTAAGTAATGATAAATTATTGTTAATAATTTTTTTATTTTTTGGATGCTCAGAATGCAGGAAATAGCATTTCCGGGTTTCAAATTTCAAAAATTTTCTGGGGATTATCCCTCTAATAAATAATGATAAATTACAGTTAATATTCTTTTTTACTTTTCATTTTTATTTTTTATTTCAAATACAAGTATAGTTAGCATAAGTTTTAGAGCAAATTTGGATGCTCAGAATGCAGGAAATAGCATTTCCGTGCTTCAAATTTCAAAAACTTTCTGGGGGAATACTCCCCCAGACCCCCCACCCCCAATTCATGCATGGTATATTAGCCACACACGTGGCCTTCAGCCATTGCTATCCCCCTCTAATATATTATCTCACAGAAAAGTCCCTTTTCAAAAAATCCTTAAAAAAGGCCCTGACTTGAATTAAAGACCGGCTTTCATACAGAGTGCCAACACAGAGATAAATACTATAATTATAAATTGTATAGACAATCAAAAACTATTTTGTATGCATTGGAGTGCTGCAGAAGGCCAAAAGGACCTTATTGCAAACCGATTGAATGAGGAAGTTTCATTTGTGTGTAGTTCACCATAGAGACATGATAAATAAAGCCTGAGAACTACTGTTTGCTAACACCTCTGATTTGCATTGCACCCTGATTGGATGTTTGTTGATTAATGATCCAAACCGTTGATATACACAATTCAAATACAAGTCACACACAACATACTTTGGTGGGAGAAGGGATTCAGTGTGATTTGTAAAATCCAAAATTGTTATTGTGAAAAGATCATCTCTACTCACGTCCCTCCCTACGCTGCACTGACTTTGAAATGACAACAATTGAATTGAAACCTCTGTGGGAAATCCCAATGCAGAGGTTTGCCAGGGATAGGTACTGTGGTCTGTGGCTACACTGATCAAGGAACACTTGGAAAGTCCTTAACCTGTACAAGGGGAATAAATCTCCACGGGCAGTCTTTAGATTTAGGTATGGTATATGTGTGACGTATATTGGAGTAAAGAAAGATGAATATCTTTGACCTATCTGTCAATCGGTTAAAATAAACAACACATTCCCTGAGACGTGGACGAAAAGGAAATCACCTTTGTTTGAAAGACCGCAAATTTGATACCTTGCTTAGTTTACCTTCAACACGTTTGCCACAAATTTTATATTATTATAAACATATTTCTTATAAATTCGCTCAAGAAAGGCAATGTTTAATGAAGTTGCAAGAGACTGCCATATGTATTTGAAGGTACAGAATTCATGGGCGTTTCATGCATTTGCATTATACCGGTCTATGCCAGATTATGGTAGAATTATTTCCAGAACAGCTAGTTAGAATTATTTCCAGAACAGCTAGTTTGTCAAACTTTGCGCAACGAGAACATGCCATGAACAATATCTCTATAATGTGAAGATCGAAAAATGTGAAAGTACGTACCTACTCCATTTGTCCAGGTTACCAGCAATAGAACAAGTATGATAAAGTGCACCCCACTACCAGTCTTCATGACTGCATCCTATATAGTATCTAATGAGCACCGTCTGTGTAGCAATCTTTAAAAGGTCACTGAGAACAAAACGTCTTTAAAATAATGTAGGCTTCCTATGTGACAAAAAGATCTTTGATCGAAGACACTGTGGTCCAAAATAACCGAAATGGTCAGGTGTCACGTCATCTCGCGCCATTGTGCTTGTTGTAATCCTTTGATATGGACATGATGTCACTGTGTGTCACTGATTGATTCTGGAGTTAGTGATTGAATTAATTCACTATTTCCTTATTTGTTTGAACAGTTTATCGTATTTATGAACAGTTTTATGATCTCTGAGTCGAGTAGACCAGGCAACCAATAGAATCTTGCGTCTCAATAAAAATAAAATATGTCACTAAAAAAATACAATTTTTTGTGTGTTCAAAGGTTGCACACTTAATTTACCGCAGGTCAAACACTACGCTCAATTTAACAAATGAGGATAATTATAAAGCGACCATCAAGTTTCTTTCAAAACACTAGTTTCGAATCCGAAACATGACCTTGACTGACAAACGTCGACCTAGGTTGATTTGACACTCACGGCTTATAAAATAGCGAGTTTAAGCAAATGACGTTTTTGTCAACACGGAGGCCAGATTGCCGAGGGGGACTGGATTAAAAACTGTGTTTGTAACAGTTTGTGTTAATCTTCACCACAAATTAGTAACAAAACATAAGATTTAGGGCCTGTTCATATGGGGAAAAGTTATCCCGGTTAACGAGAAAACTTTTCGACTAGCCAAATACTTTTGTTCTGTTCATATGGAGAAACTTTATCCCGCTTACCGGGTAAAGTTTTCGGCTGTGACGTAGCACTGAGCATCAATTAAATTGAAAAGTTTCTGACACGACAGAAAGTTATTCCGCTAAGCGGGAACTGAGTTGTGTTCATATGGGAAAATCATTATCCCAGTCACCGAGATCTCGCCTGTCAACAAGCGAGATCTCGGTACATGGGAAAACTTTTTGTCTCATATGAACGCAGTGTAACTCAGTTTCATATTATTTTCATACAAAGGCGAGATCTCGCTTGTAAACTTGTCGAAAATTTTTCTCGCTAACCGAGATAACTTTTGCCCATATGAACAGGCCCTTAAAGTTTTTTGCTTCCGTACATGAGCGCTATGATGCAAAAAGCTGCCAAAATTACCTATGCCAATTTCCGAGTGACGTCCGTGTTGACTCGCTTGCTTAAGCTAGCTCACTAATATTTATTCATAACTTACAAATGTGTGTGCAAAAATGCATTGCATTTTAGGTTTTGGGAGTTCAATATTGTTAAAATGTCAGGATTTTAACATTTTAAAATGTACCTCAGTGCAAACTTTCAAAAAGCGCCTGCGAGGAGCGCTCGCTTGTTCGCGCATTTCAATGCCTGCTAACGCAACGCTTATAACCATTAGGCATTACACTAAATGACTAAATCCCAACCAAAATTTAATTCAAAACCGGTCGTATCCCTAACACTAGACATACGGTAAACCACAACCCTAATACTAGTAATAGTAATATTAATTAACCCTATCCCAAACTATCTGTAAAGATAACCCTAAATGCCATCACTTATTGTTTAAAATATACACATCCTACGAGACAAGTTTAAGGAAATTTTTTAAAGCCATTTTTTACTCAAAAGTACTATGTACATTTTACAAAAAATTATCACAACAACTGAAGTAGAAAATAATTATTTCTAAATTTAGGTGTAAATCAGAATACGTGTTCATATCTAACACTACGATAGTGAACGTATTCCCACGTTTATCTCGAACTCATTAATAATTCATGAGCAAATTAGCGAATGAACTCACCCTAATTCGTCACATGATTGAGGTTGGATACCGCAGGAAACACGCTAAAAATCATATACCATCACTGTTGTTAGATGAAAAACGGTTTTCATCTAATAACTGAGATCCTAATTACAAATTCAAGTCAAAACACAACAATATACTATAATAATATATATAAGCCAATGAAATGTTTTCATTTGAGATGTTGTGTAAACAACTCGTTTCTCGTGTTTCATCAGGGGACCAAACACTCGAAAACAATAAAACACTCGCGCTTCGCGCTCGTGTTTCATACAGTTTTCTCGTGTTTGGATCCCCTGATGAAACACTCAAACTCGTTGTTTACATATAACATCATAGTTGGTACAGGGTTCCCACTGGAATTTTTGGTGAGGAGGCTTTTTGAAACACGTAGGCGGCTATGTGTGCGGCTGAAGGTGTGAGAAATAACCAGTGAAAATCGCCTGGTGCCGGCTTCTATTGGGAACTCTGTGGTAATAATTCTAAATACAATACTGTTCCTCTTTTCAACTTTATAGTTTTTATAGAGCAACCTATAGTATGGAAAACTAACTGTTTGTATTACTGATCACTGTGCAATCAATATTTCTCACATATCATGCTTATTTACATGAAATATAAGAAAGACGTAAAACGCCTCTTTGACTCTTTCAAAGAAAATGGCCTGATCCATAATTACTTGCCACCCAATTTTCCTTTCAACTTCCGTAAGACCCTTCACCACTAACTGTATTTGACAGAAACAAAACATTCAATTGCATGATGTTAATAAAAAATGATTACTTATTTCGAAGGACAAAGTACGAAGGTATTCTTGCGCAATTACCTTTTCGGCTTTTACCATACGAAATGTAGTTTTTAGGATTTTTATAACAGGTTGGTCTTCTTATGCGATTTTCTTCGTGATAGACAAGTTCTAAACATTGCTTTTTTCCCTCCTTTAAGGGTTGTGTCGATATGTCTTCGTTCGGATAATGAATAAAAAACTATGGTACATTTTGTATACATTCAATCGATATACAAACAATATACATAATAAGTGCAGTGCATGCAATTTCAAAGGGACTTCCTGTTTCTATATAAAGATATCATATGCATGCACCCACGCTCGCTAAAAATTTTAAATAATGATTCAAAGTTTGTGAGTTCACGGCAACCAGGTATATCAGTCATGTTTTCGCTCGCTACTCTGGTTTTTATAAATGAATGCAAAGCACAGTCGAATTAGATTCACGACCCAACGTTTCGACACTCCAGTCTAGTGGTGTCTTGCATCAGGGGTGATCTGGAGTCGCAAGCGTGCATCTACAAGCGTGGTATATAAATACGAGTAATCATGCTATGAATAGCAGGGCCAGGGTGAAAAATAAATCATTTAAATATATTTGTAGGCTGTTTGGTGCGTGTACCAATTGTACTGGCGATTTGTTTCTTAATTAAGACTACGTTTAAATCCTGAAATAGAAGTACAAAGTTTTAGATCATTGTTGGAAACCGGGCGAATTGTGTTGATGAAGGATTCACTGAAGGAGTGAAGACAAGTAAATAAACCATCACAAAATAAAATTCTAAAATATTTACTAATTAAGAACGAACGTTCCATCCATGGCTCTTGCATGCATTATGCCGCATATATGGGCATTCATTTTCATCATACAATTACGATTCCCACCTTGTTCATGGCTACCAGAAATTCAGAATTATGGCGACCAGAATGCTTAACGCAATCTTTTTATGTCAAGACAGCATCTTTTTACACTGGCCTGTAGGCCAAGAGTCTTAAATCCCTCTTTTTCTGTTTTCGACGAGAAATGGAGTTTGCGTTAGGTCATCGCAGGCTCAGGGTGCAACGTGCTCCAGTGACATATTCAGTTCAGTTTCAAAATGGCGGCTTTTCACTGAGCGATCTAATGTATATTTCACACAGTTTCGTTGAATTTTCAAAGAATTGTGCCGGTTTCCTATGGATTTTACGTCGTGTCGCACTCTGGCCTTTCTTGCGTGTTGAATTAGTGTGTTTTTCTTTGTGTAACGCATAGACGGATTTTCATATTTTTAACTGGGGTGGTGCCAGAAATTTTAGGGGGGTGAGCCGTGAGCAGGTGACTGAAGCAAACAAAGTGTCATCAAATGGCACAAAGTGCCCCAGTAAGGTATATTCTAGGGGTGGAGCACTGAGCCGCGAGGGGGAGTCTAGAGAGCAGAAAACAAAGTATCCCATGAAAAGTTTGAAAAAAATCATGATTTCTAGCTTCGAAAAAAAGCTTTTTGAAGTTGTCATATCAATGGATTTGGCATGTCCGATTGTCTGTTGAGACTTGAGAGAGTTAAAGCTTAAAGTTAAATGAACCTGTAAAATTGTAAACCCAATACACAATATGCTTTTAATTGTACCGAGTACAATTTATGATGCAACTTGAACTACTATGAGCTATCATACTGTACTGTACATAATTGATATACAGCATACAGTATTATAATTATTTATTATTAAACTTTATTTAAACACGGTACTATTTCACAAACTACTTATATTTAATTTAATTATGTATAAAAGAGAAGGAAAAGAAAAATGTGATCTTCCAATAGGCCGTGTGTTTAACTATCTTATAACACTGTCTACAATATACATATAGACTATTCAACATACATATTACTTACTAATGTAACAAATACTAACAATTTTATATTAAAATGTACTCTCAATTGATAATCTTGAGTTTTGCTTTAAAAATATTAACAGTTTAAGAATTTTCAATTTCACTTGGTAGATTATTCCAGGCCACTGCACCTCTATAACTAAATGCCTTTTTCAGGTAATTTGTTTTAGGCTTCGGTGGTAGGAAATCATGTTTGGCTTGTCTCGTTTGGTGTTCATGGACCTCGTTTGTTTTTTGAAACATTTTACTTAACGAAGAAGGGGCCATTTCGTGTCTAACTTTGTACATTTTAAAAATGTATTTAGTTGTGTTACGTTTTTAATAGACGGTAAATGAACAGTGAAACATACATAAAAAGCTAAGAATATAAAGTTATAAAATTCTGACTGTCCACCATCTTGTTCTATGCCCATTCCCTGGCCGTGTGTCACAGGGAACCCAAAACGGTACCCTACTATCGTTACATCTCTTCTCCTTAAGTTTCTTAATTATAGCTTCAAAACAAAACTCAACGGAAACTGTTCGATTGTTCGAATTAGCTATGTGTTATCATAAACAAGTTCGATAACTGTTCTATGTAATCAACCGATCACATTCGGTTCAAACCTATAACTAGTTTATTTAAAGGTTTAGTGTCAATTGCACTCGTAATCTTCAAAACGTTTTGGAGCACGATGGCTTCGCCCCGAGCGGCGTACATTACCATCTTCCCCATGTCTCTGGCCTCCCATTGTATCTACTTCAGGGGGCTCGTTGATTGATTCGTCGTCAGTCAACGGCTCATCTGCATCGGACAGTTCGGTTTGTAAAGGTAACTGCTCTGCGGTCGTACGTAAATGCCTTCGATTTCGACGATATCTTCTTCCATTGACCTCAACCAGGTAAGATCGAAAACCCATAACTTCAATGACCTTACCAAGAGACCATCTTGAATCACCCGGACAACGCATTCGGATAACATCGCCTGCTGACAGCCTTTTCAACTTCCGCGACTGTCGATCAAAATATTTCTTTTGCTTCTCTTTGCCTTTCTCCATCTTCTTCGTCACTCCTTCGATAAGAGTCGGTTTCAACAGTTTCTTTGCAACAGGAAGACGTGTGCGAGTACGTCTACCATACAGTAACTGGGCGGGAGAAGCACCCATGCCTTCGGTTGGTGTATTGCGCCATTCGAGTATGCTGAGGAGTGGATCCTGTTTGTCGTCGCGAGCTTTCTTTAACAATGATTTGCAGGTCTTTACAGCATTCTCAACTTTTCCATTGCTTTGTGGGTGGTGAGGACTAGAGGTAATATGGTTAAAATCCCATTCGTCACTAAAGTCTTTAAAACTTTCGCTGTTGAATGGCGGGCCATTATCGCTCATCACTGTAATAGGAATACCGTGTCGAGCAAACCACGACTTCAGTACGGTGATGACACGCGATGCCACTGTACTTGTCATGTCTTGAACTTCAAACAGCCCAGAATAATAATCCACCGCTATTAGGAATGTCTGTCCGTCCAACTCAAATAAATCTACGCCGACTTTCTCCCATGGTATTTCGGGCGCTTTGTGAGGGTGCAATGGTTCTTTGCATTGTTCTGGTCGATATCTGTTACAAATTCCACATTTGGATATGTAATCTTTAAGAACTGCCGTAATTCCAGGCCAGTAGACGGTGTCACGTGCTCGTCTCAAAGTGCCTTCGATACCGATGTGTGATTGATGCAAGCTTTTCATGGTATTTTGACGCTCTGCCGCAGGTATCACCACGCGGTGTCCTTTATACACAATGCCATCCTCATAGGTCAATTCATCACGACTGTTCCAGTATAAATAGAAAACTCTCTTACTGGGATTATCGAGTTTGGATGCTTCCTTACGATTGTCAGGCCAACCATGAGTGATAAAGTGGATCAGAATTTTGAGCTCCTCATCTCTGCTTGTTTCTTCCCGCAGTTTCTTCAATTTTCGTGGGAGAACATTTAGGTCTTCATCATGCTTTAACTGTTCGAGTTCAGCTGAAAATACTTGTTCTTTCACTGCTCGTACATCACAAGACTCTCTTTGTTTTGCGCTGACATTCAAATACGCTCGACTGAGCGTATCAGCCAGATACATCATGGTTCCTTTCTTGTATTCGACTCGGATATCGTAGATTTGTAGTCGTAATCGCATCCGTTGCAACCTCTTCGGTGCGCTGTGAATGGGTTTTCTAAATATAGTCTCCCGTGGCTTGTGGTCTGATTCTACCACTACGTCGCTCTTTCCGAAAATGTATTGGTCGAACTTCTCGCACGCGTAGACAATGGCTAAGAGCTCTTTCTCTATTTGCGCGTAGTTGCGCTCAGTTGCTGTTAGTGCTCGAGAGCTGTAGGCAATTGGGTGGCCATCTTGTAGAAGAGCAGCTCCAAGACCGGTTTGGGAGGCATCACACTGTATAGTTACGGGCTTTGTGACGTCATAGTAGGCAAGCACTGGCGCAGTGCTGATCATTCTTTGGATTCGGACCACGGCTTCTTCGTGTGCGGTTAACCAACACCACTCGGCATCTTTCTCTGTGAGCTTCCTCAACACTTCCGTTTCATCAGAAAGACATGGCAAAAACTTGGCTAGGTAGGTTACCATACCCAGGAACCTTCGTAGAGACTGCACATCTGTAGGATGAGGCATGTCGTTGATGGCCTCTACTTTCTTTGGATCAGGCTTCAAACCATCTGGGGTTAATATGTGTCCGATAAATGCCACTTCCGTCTTCCTTAACTGAGCTTTTTCTTTCTTGAGCTTCAGGTTCTTCTCCCAACAGCGCTCCAGAAAAGCACGGACATTGCGGTCATGGTCAGCATTCCACTCCTCTGGGGTACTTCCAAACCCAACCACAACAAAATCATCCGCTATCACTTCCACCCCATGTAACCCTTCAACATGTTCGTGCATTTTTCGCTGCCATACTTCTGGTGCGCTGCTTATACCAAACGGCATACGTTTCCAACAATACCGCCCAAATGGAGTGTTGAAAGTAGTGAATCGGCTGGACGCTGGATCGAGTTCTACTTGCCAAAATCCATTACTGGCGTCAAACACACTGAAAATTTTCGCCCGATTTAATCGCGTAGCAACTTCTTCAATAGTAGGCATTGGGAAATGTTCACGTTTTATTGCACCATTTAGATCTTTTGGATCAAGACAAATGCGAATATCAACTTTTCCGTCTGGCCCCAACGTCGGTTTTCGGACAGCGAGCATGCTGGAGACCCAATCAGTGGGTTGATCAACTTTTGCAATAATGTCATCCTTTACCATGTTGTCAAGCTTTTCTTGGACTTGATCGATTAATGCTACTGGCAAACGGCGAGGCGGATGTACCACAGGCTTCACTGATGGATCTGTGACAATCGTGTATTGTCCTTCGAGCTTTCCAAGACCTTCAAAGACATCATTAAACTCTTGTAACAAAGGGTCGCATCCTGCTGTTACTACACTTACTCGGGGTTTTTGGTCGGAATCAAGGATCTTTATCATGCCCATGTCAATCAAGGTCTGCTTGCATAGGATTGGCTCGTACCCTTGTCCTTTTACTACATTCACAACAAGTTTGTGGGTCTGAGTACCTCGACTTACTCTCACCATGGCCCGACCTTCAATAGGCTGTTCAAATCCATTGGCTAAAACGAGCACTGAACGTTTGTTCTTATCTAATTTATTTAGTTCTTTATCACCTGTCACTTTCTGGTACACATTCAATGGTAGTACATTACATTCTGCCCCAGTGTCCATAAGAAATTGGACATCTCCATTTGGTACATCGTCTACTTCATTTAACATTGTTAAAGTTACAGTTGAACGAACTTCCTTTTCACCCGTTTTGGTGGTGCCCAAATAAAATCGATCTTGATCATGCACAGCAGAAACTTTACTTTTAGCTTGGCACTTAACTGCGAAATGATTTTTTACTCCACACTTTCTACATGTTTGGCCAAATGCCGGACATTTACGCTTCTCATGATCGCGACCACAATATTTGCAATCCTTTATTACCGCTTTATCCGATTTTGGTACATCTTCTTTGGACCCGTCATGTTGTTGTGTCTGCCGGACAGCATGTATTCCAGCCTCTAAATTCATCTCCTTCATTTGAGCTGTCGTACTCTCAGCAGCTCGCACAATGTCTAGTGCTTTCTCTAAGGTAAGTTTATTGTCTCGAAGTAATCGTTCGCGTACCTTTGCATTCCTAATTCCAGTAACAAGTCGGTCTCGCAATATTTGATCTGGTGTAATCGACTCCAAATCACAGTTTGCAGAAATTCTACGCAGCTCCATCATGTACTGGTCTACGGTTTCTGTGGGCCCTTGATCACGCGTAAACAGTCGAAAACGTTCATATGTCACATTCTGTCTTGGAATACAGTATTCCTCGAACTTCGTTATGACTAGATCAATTTTCTTAGAATCATCTTCTGACTCCCAAACAAATGTCCTAAATACTTTGTTTGCTTCTTTTCCTATTACTGCTAGAAGTGTAGCTACTTGACGTGCCTCGTCTTCTTTATCAAGCTTTGTCGCCAACGTGTAATTGCTCCAAGCGGACTTCCATTCGCGCCAGTTCGAAGCCGTTGAACCATCATTTAAATTAAGCACGTCCGGAGGAGGTATCTGAAAATACGCCATTCTCGTTGAGTTTTCGCTTGTTTCTTCGTCGTTTCCGGCCGTATCAACGCTAACGTCCATCCACATAGACTAGTTTTACTCCTGACACCATGTTACGTTTTTAATAGACGGTAAATGAACAGTGAAACATACATAAAAAGCTAAGAATATAAAGTTATAAAATTCTGACTGTCCGCCATCTTGTTCTATGCCCATTCCCTGGCCGTGTGTCACAGGGAACCCAAAACGGTACCCTACTATCGTTACAAGTTGTTGATTTCTTCTTTCCTCAAGGTTGGGCAGACCAAGTTGGTGTAGTAAATTTACAGATCGAACTTCGTACCCACTCTTTGTAATGATACGGACAGCTCTATTTTGTAATCGCTATTTTGTAATAGTTTATTACAAAGTGTGGTACCAAGGCTAAGGTACCCTATATTTATATTTAAATGAAGTATTTAGTGGTATCATAGACATATACCGCGGGACGGAGAGAACGGGGATTCAAGGATGGGGACGATCTTTAAAAGACACCCGGATGACGTCAAATGTTACTACGGACCGCATGATACAGTTATGGAAAGGGGCGTAATATCGGATGAAGCTATCGAAAATGGGGAATGGCATAGATGGTTTGAGCAGTGTAGACCCAAGGTAGATGACAGTTATGAAAGCGGAAATCAAGATGAGGAAGATAAACAAGAGACTAACCACGTAGAACCAGGGCATGAGAATGGAGGCGAAGTAAGCAGCGCAAACGACTGCCCTGGATCTTGTATTCCTCGTCGATCACAAAGGCTACGAAGACCTAACCCCAGATATATTGACTATGAAATGTAACATTTCACAATGATGGGTATATTCAAGGACTAAAATAACTGTGTCATTATTATGGACATTTTCTGTTAAAAAGGGGGGATAAGGTACCCTATATTTATATTTAAATGAAGTATTTAGTGGTATCATAGACATATACCGCGGGACGGAGAGAACGGGGATTCAAGTATGGCGGACAAGAGATTCGAGATGTTAGATATTATTTAATGTAGTGTGATAAAAGATTGATTAAATTGAACTTATATTAAAGGCCTCCCCAAACTTGGGAACAATAATCGAAATAAGGTTGTACTAAAGTTTGATAAACGGTAGTTAATATTTTTATGTCAAAGAAATCCCTTAATCTCCGCATGACATTTAAGCCCTTGTTTACTTTTTTCGTAATTAGTGTAACCTGTTCATCCCAAGTTAATGTCTCATCGATCATTAATCCAAGTGATTTTGTAACTTTGACTCTTTTTATTTGATTGTTTCCCAAAGTGATTGGTGGATCACTTTGAGTTTGGTGAAGCCTTTTATGAGAACCGATAACCATGTATTCTGTTGTGCTAGCATTTAGGCTTAATTTGTTTGCCTTCATCCAATCAGAGACGTTTATCAAATCTTCATTCAAAATGTTAGCAATCGATTATTGCTAGATGTATCAATTTGTGTATCATCAGCGAACATATTGCATCTTGTATGTTTTAAGCAATTTGGAAGGTCGTTAACGTATATAAGAAACAATAGTGGTCCAAGTATGGACCCTTGAGATATACCGCAGACCATGTCCAGTGGGTGGGAAAGGTGATCGTTTACCCGACAATACTGCTTTCTGTTTGATAAGTAAGATCTGAACCAATGAAGCAATTCCTTTTATCCCATAAAGATGTAATTTATGTAGTGGTATTTTATGATCTACAGTATCGAATGCTTTCTTAAATATTCATATTCGCGCGTTATCAGCTTGCGCAGGTGGCACTAGTGCAATACACTTTATATGATGATAATTAGGTTGCTATTGTACAAACAACAGTGTAGCAACGTCAACAATCTGCCTAGAAAGTAGAAACGTCATCACGCAACCAATGCAATGAACGTGATAATTATTTGCATTAAACAGTCTCCTGAATTCGATGTAAATAATATTTAGGGCGTAAAGATTAAATCTATAGGCAAGTCTATTTCCTAAAAGAATTAAAACCTAAAAATAATGTTTGTAAAAATTCCAAACGTTTCTTGCGTGCAAGCTATTCGCATGACAAGGCACTGCAAACTCTATTCAGGGCAGATAATAGAGTTTCAAAACTTTACAATTACTCCTACGTTTATTTTGTATCATCAACACTCTGCACGTTGGAGTGGAATATTTAAGTATTTATTTATTTAGGGGTGGACATTTTGTTTAGGGGGGTTATAGCTAATATTGGGGGTAGCACCCCCCTGCACACACCCCCCCCCCAGAAAATCCGTCTATGGGCTAGATGCCTACTTATTGAGGCCAAATTACCTAAAACACTCTGGACGTATGCAGTTATGGCTGCAGTGTACATACGAAATCGTTGTTACAACTATAGACTTAAGAAAACACCTTATGAAGTATTTACCAGTCAAAAACCCAATTTGCAAAATATGCATGTTTTTGGCACAGTGTGCTACACGTATGTGCAGGAGAAGAAGAAATTGGACCCAAGAGGGGAAGAAAGAATTTTCGTAGGGTATGATAAGGGAAGCCCAGCCTACCTTATATATTTTCCAGAAACAGGATCAATTAAGAGAATCCGTTGTGTTCGTTTCACTGATAAATTTGGAAATGACAAGAATACAGAGAAAGCCCTCAATTAAATATTGAGGATGAAATGATTGTTAGCTTACCACCTTGTCCATCAGATCCCCAACCGACAAATGAAAATGAGAATCATGTAGTTCCCCCAAATCCAGTAAGTGATTTAAATAATGATATTGGTGATCCATTAATGATAAGGGTGGGAATGTCCAATTACCAGAAACTAGGTACCCTAGTCGTAACCGGGCAAAGCCAAAGTATTTAGAGCAATATGTTGATGGTGACGAAGTCGATGAAAACAACCACATCAATTTCACAGTTGATTACTGCTGTAATATATCAGATGTACCGAAAACGTACCAGGAGGCGATATCCTCGCCTCATTTTCATGAATGGCAAAAGGCCATGGAGGATGAAATGTATGCATTAAGGGAAAATGACACATTTGAACTTACCACAAAGCCTGAAAATAGAAATACAGTGGGGGGGAAGATGGGTTTATGCCATTAAAACTGACCCTAATGGGGAAGAGAAGTACAAAGCCCGCTTTGTAGCCAAGGGATATTCGCAAATACCAGGTGTTGATTATCATGAAACCTTCTCACCCACTGCAAGAATGACATCTATTAGAATCCTAATGCAATTAGCGGTGCAATACAATCTGACAATACATCAAATGGATGTGAAAACAGCATATCTGAACGCACCTATTGACTGTGAGTTATATGTTGAACAACCTGAAGGTTTCACTATGACAGGAAAAGATGGTGAGTATCTTGTTTACAAACTTAGAAGATCCTTATATGGACTGAAGCAAAGTGGTCGTAACTGGAATAGTGTGCTACATTCCCATTTAGTTAGTGAGGGGTTTATTCAGTCACAATCAGATAGTTGTGTTTACACCAAAGTTTCAGGTAAGTCGATGACCATTGTGATAATTTGGGTTGATGATATAATAATTGCATCAAATTGCACAGTTACGCTAACGAATGTGAAAGGTAATCTAGGTAAGAGATTTCAAATGAAAGATATGGGAAAATTATCATGGTTTTTAGGCGTAGAATTTATATGTGAAGAGGGAGTAATTAAGATGAACCAAACAAAATACATTAAAAGACTATTGTCGAAATTCAGTATGGAAAATTGCAAACCCAAATCCACTCCATGTGAGATGAACTCACATAAGGTAAGTGAGGAAAATTCAGTGCCAACTGATAACAGATTGTACAGAGAGATCATAGGCAGTCTTGTTTACATAATGACTGCAACTAGGCCAGATCTTTGTTATAGTGTAACGAAACTTTCACAATATTTGTCAGCACCAACCATGAGTCACATAAACACTGCAAAGCATGTATTGAGATATGTCAAGGGCACAGCTAACAGAAGTCTAATCTTCAGGAAAGCTGATGAGCCACTGCACTTAGTTGGTAGTTGTGATGCTGATTGGGGTGCGTCAGAAGATAGACGCAGTATAACCGGGTACGGTTTCCACCTTTGTAGCAAAGGTCCTTTGATTTCCTGGAAGAATAGAAAGCAACCTACAGTTGCTTTATCCATATGTGAAGCTGAATATATGTCTTTAGCTTCAGCTGTTCAGGAAGGTAAGTTTCTTTCTCAGCTGTTGGAGGATATGGTTAAAATTAAGTTTACTCCAGTGACACTTCACTGTGACAATCAGGGAGCTTTAGCCTTGGCAATAAACCCTGTTCAGCACCAAAGATCAAAACATATTGATATACGTTATCACTTCGTAAGATCGGAAGTTCAGAGAGGTCTCCTTCATTTATTGTATGTAACATCAAAAGATAACTTAGCTGATATATTTACCAAACCAATATCAGGACCGAGAATAATAAAAACTTTTGTTCCTATTATACTAGGAGTATAAACTCGATTTAGTGTAATGTTGTTGATATTTATACTATATATATAAAACTAACTGTTCTATGTTTAAGTGGGGGTATTAGTGAATAAACATTCATCCAGACAAACTTATAAGAGAGATCAGTGATGAACAGGTCATGTGACCCCCAACCACGTTGTTGTGATTCTACTTCTGTAAAAGCAAAGTATTAAAAGAGAAACTGTTCTTCGTCTTATTGTTTATTTATATTCCACTGTCATGACTAATAACGTAACATCCGGGATTGGACGCACCTCGGGTGGCTGAAAGTTTCCCGAACCTATCTCGCTTCGCTCGGTTAGTTCGGAAAACGTCGAGCCATCCTCGGTGTGTCCAACGACATGTACAAACTGTCATCACCTGAACGCCAGAAAAGAAGAGGCTAAATTTAGATGTATTTCCTTTCATGGGCGTACCGGACGGGGGGCAAACAAAGCCAGTCGGGCAATATTCGCTTCATAGTCGGGCAATATTGGCTTATTACAAAAATAAACGGGACAAATTCTGTCAATTTTGTGGGAAATTTTGTGGAAAATATGTTATCTAATAGGGATTTTTCGTAACACTCCTCTCCCCCGTCGACAACAATTTTGGAAAGTTTCTCTGGAGAATTTTTTTCACAACTCGGGCACAATCCGAAAAAGTCGGGCAAATTTCTTTCCGCCCCCCTAATTTTTTCCTTCCCGTACGCCCATGCATGTTTCCTTTCTGGGGTCAAGATTTTATTCATGTTCTTTGAGTGTCTTGATTATAGACTGAGGTTGGTTTTAAATACACAATTGAAAGAGAGAATAATCTATATTGAAAGCTTAACTTTTCTAATGGAGAGTCTTGTGGTCAAACAGACACGAATTTGTCACATAAGACAAGAAATTATATTTTTCATATCCGTAACTAATTTATAGAGCCTTCTGATTGATTACGAGTTCCACGTCACAAGATACGGACTTCTCCAGTTTTCGCGCCAAACTAGGCATATATAGCCATGCAGATCATTTTCAAACATTAAAGCTCACCAAAAAAATTAAATACTATAATATAGTTCGCCAGCGACGCTGAAATTTTTTAAGGTCGGTCCGTATTTGAAAAATATGTCCCTCGCTTACAGAAACAACGTCCTTCGAGAAAAATACTTTTCCAGCACGCGGCCCGTTGAAATATAATTAACATATCAAATATATTTGATTTATTTTAGAAAACTCAAAAAGTTGTCTCAGTGCATTTTTTAAGGATTCTTCAGTGGTGCGGCAAACTGCCAAAGGGCCCATTTCCCTTGCCCTCCCCCCAGGATAGAATGTGATCACCGAGGCAAAACAGCAACTTTTTTCCGTAGACAGTCGGACTCCTCATTGATAGTTGGACGCATCATTGATCCGCGTCCAGGCCTCCGCACTTTATTGATCGATCCCTTCGTACCCTGCATAACCTAATGGTACACTATATGTAACCATTACTCCACGTTGTTCTTCTTCGACCACGTGTAGAAAGATGAACAATTTGCTTCGCGATGCCATAGCAAATCTACAAGCTTGTTTTTCAGGTTCCGAAAATACTCAAAAACTGTTATTGCGAGGTGAAATTATATCTCACTCCAATTGAAGAGAGGAACTATTGCAGAATACCTGTCCACTAATAATATCATGTTTGTGATGTTACTCAGAGCATAGACAATCCAAAAGACATGTCTTTTGGATTGTCTATGCTCTGAGTGTGCATCCACACCGGACAAGCTGAAATGTTTGCCTGACCACGGTGGGAATCGAACCTGCGATTCTTACCGTGGTCAGGCAAACTTTCAGCTTGCCCGGTGTGGATGCATTTTCACCGTGGTTGGACACATTTTTCAGCTTGACCATTGTGGATGCTCACTCAGAGTAACTTTAAGGTTTTTAAGGCGCATTTCAGCCCTTTTAATTGAAAAAACTAACTAGGAAAATCAATTAAGCACTATTTAAGCATAATACAAGATCAGCAAACTTAATATTTTTAACATTTTAAAACATTTTTATTGTTAAAAACATTGAGTTTGCTGATTTTGAATCATGCTTAACGGCACAGTGCAGCCTTTTGGATGATGGTTTTTAAGCGCATTTCAGCCCTCTTAATTGAAGAAACGTACTAACTAGGAAAATCAATTAAGCATGATTCAAAATCAGCAAACTCAATGTTTTTAACAATAAAAATGTTTTAAAATGTTAAAAACATTAACGATCTACAGTCCGATCTGCGCATGCGCACAAATGAGCACACTTTTTATGATACAAACAGTTTAACTATGTTTTGAGTTCTTGAAAAGCCTGATTGTTGTTTCTTGATCATTTATTATACTCTAGAAACTTGAAAATATAAATAGTTGTCGAATAAAGCTCAATATTTTGGACACAAAAATGTAAACAAAGGCTTTGTTTACATACGGACTGTAGATCACCTTTAAGTTTGCTGATCTTGAATTATGCTTAATTAGCCTTTCTCACGCCGCCATTTTTTGCCGGGTGGCATTTCAGTCGACGTCTGCGAGATAAGTCCACATAACAGCGACTTTTTATAATTTTTTTGACAAATTATGGTAAATTTGCTTTGTAAATAGTTAGTTTATTTTGAAAAATTGCTTTTCACATTGTTTTAATTATCTGCTTGGTTAACGAAAATTGGACCCAAAAATGGCGGATATTCGTCATCGTGAGAAAGACCAATTGATTTTCCTAGTTAGTTTTTTCAATTAAAAGGGCTGAAATGCGCCTTAAAAACCATCATTCAAAAGGCTGCACTGTGCCTTTAAAGGAAATGGCAATATATTTTTTTATTTTCTCGTTTGAAATAACATTAAAAAGCATATATAAAACTCTTTTACCGTTTTTTTCATATCTTGCTTACTTCTACAAATATTTTAATCGAAAGAAATGAAATGTCCGCCATCTTGGATTTTTGTAGATATGCATGTTACGTCACAACAGGGGTCACGGTATATTTCTATCTAGACAAACACTAATCATCTTGCACTCAAAATTATACTCTGTATGCCCTTGGAAATTTCAAGATCACTTGAAACCTTTGTGACGTCACCAAAACTACCGTTAATGAGATCAAAAATTTATCCAAGATGGCTGACATCTCATTACTTCAAGTGACAATATTTCAAGAACTAAGCAAGATATGAAGAATCGGTAAAGCAAGTTATTAAATAGTTTCAAAAGTTCTTTCAAATGAGAAAATAAAATAATATATTGCCATTCCCCTTTAACCATGCTACGCAACTAGGGTCATGATCAGTGACAGTGGGATTCAAGCGTGCATGCAGTGCATGGAATATTTTGTCATCAATCATGCTTTTGTTATGTTTGGCATGTGTCGAATGCATTAAAAACAATATCGTCAACTCTAGTTTTCGAAGTAAAGTGGCTTTAATTCGACGTCCTTGGATGCAAGTTTTGCTCCATGTCGTTCGGGATTCAGTTCTTGAACGACTTCGCATCATTAAATTCAAAAGCGAAGTAAAACATGATTTTGTGGTCAGGTGAAACGGTTACAAAAATGGGTAGTTTCCATACTATTGTCGTTCTGATGTCACCGATATTAGAGTAACGGTCAACCTAGCTCGTCCCCAGGGGACGAAGAAGTTCAGTAACGGTAGGATAGTAAGATTAAGAAGTAATTTATGGTCAGATTCCAATGTTTCGCGCACAATAAAGCCAGGTTTATAGGGATGGGTTGTGATTACGATCAAGATAAAAGAAATATATTTGTGATCGAAATAAGAATTTATTCATAATAGTACAATAATGACGTCACAACGATTGAGCTTACAGACCTTACGGTTACGGTTACGATGGGTTAGGAGCTTACGATTGTAATGGGTTAGTTAATGGTTAGTTAATATGGTAACTATATGAGGCTTTTTTTTATATCGTCAAACTAAGGAGCAAGTCAGCATTTACTACTGATAAGTATACTAGTTTAATTAAAATAATTACCATCTAATAATTAGGCATCTGTTACTTTCTGCAGCAATTCATCGCTTGGCCGTGTATAACTTCGTTCTGCCCATACTCTCGCCATAATTGTTTGCTAATAAAACTCGCCACTTTCGCACCGTCGTTGGTTAATCTGCACTCTATATCCCATAGAACACACGTGACCATGCTCTAACCATTACTTAAACCATTACAGTATATAAACTAATAAACTATATAATTTTAAAAAATTGCAGCGTATAAGGGACCATTCATCATTTATACCCCGGGTTGGTACCGGAGAGATATGGTTTGGGTAATCACGTTTTTGACTATAGCTGATGGGTTGAGTAAAAAAATTATGGCTGTCTGTCAGCTATAAAGTAAAACCAAAATTACCATGCATTGGAAAATATGAAGAAAAATGTATACAATACATTCTGTACCAAAATAGACCATCAGTGATTGAGGAAGGACTCTATCATTGATTAGCAAACGTGATTGCTTTGGCACACTCAGTGAGTTTGAGTGTGAGTGAGTTTTTAGAATTTAGGCAACTTGATTTCTGTCACCAATCCATAATCTTGTGTGTTTAATTATAATGAAGTACAGTAACACATGGGTTGGGTAAACATTATTTTGACCAATGTTGAAGTTGGGTAAATGAAAAATTTACAGTGTTTTTCGCTTCTTTTCGGTACCAACCCCAGGTATAAATAATGAACGGTCCCTAACGAATGTTTTTCGGTAGAGCATTCCACAATTTGGGAGCTGAGGCTGCAAAAGCACGGTAAAATGGTGATTTTGATTTTAAGATTTGTGAAAATACGGCCGAGTCACATGAGTTTCCAGCTCAGACGGAATGCTGTTCCGCTGATTTGTTCTTAACGCATCGCTACTTATGTTTTAGGAGAAAGTTGAAATTATTTTCATATATTGACATTGTAATTACGTGATTTATAACCGCAACAAATGGATCCGCAGACAAATTTACGTACAATGCCCAACTCGCCCCATCTCGTCAGTGAACATACTATACTCCAGCTCTTACTACGAATACAGTTTTTAACTATTGTAATGTACACAAAACCAGTTTAAACACTACTATATTCAATATTATATATTGTTTTACTGTAATATATTTAGTAAATTAATATCTTTAGTACATTAAGACATAAGTTTCACAAAATGTCCACAACAGCCCGCGAAGTTCACAGTATTCATTTAGGTATATTGAAAGTGACTATAAGGTTATAGCATTTATAATTCTGGTGTAATTATAGGCTATATTTCTAGTAATACTGGTTACTATAAGGGACGGACCATTAGAAAAGCGATGGGGAGGGGGGAGGAACCAAAACAATCCTAGCTTGGAAGATAGGCCTATAAATTTCACTTAAAAAATTTCCAGCCATCAAGTGAGAAAACAAATATATTTCTTCTATAGGTGTACAAAAAAAATATTGGCTCTTATAAAATCCCCCCCAATCACTTTCTAATGGTCCGTCCCTAATTGGCAATAGGCTATAAACAGATCGAGACACTGTATATAACTTATTTCACGATCAATGGCAATTTACAGTGGGATATCAACAACCACCACAACCACCACAACCATCACAACCACCACACCCATCACAACCACCACACCCATCACAACCATCACAACCACCACAACCACCACAACCACCATAACCAAGATAACCACCATAACCAGGACAAGCTGGACAACCATTATCGCATAGACATTGCCAGAGACATTTTCGCAATGTAGAGTCAATTATCACAACTACAACGATTACAATCAGTACAAAGGTAACAATGCTAATTATAACTATTAAAGTGGTTTCAGTGGAAGAAGATTGATTACTTGGTGTAGTGCTTTGAGAATGGTTCGTTGCTCTGGTACTTGAAATGAAACCGGCTATAGAAAGATAAATGAGGATAAATAGTAAATACATGCAGCTGATTCATAACTCGCTTTTGTTCTGTTTATATGCTTGCAGAATGAAAAACCAGAGGCAGAGTTGTATACAGTATATATACAGGGTGTCTAAAAAAAACGCTATGGAAATTCAACAGGCTGTCGTGCATCATAAACTTAACTAAACAATTCAATTTTTATACAGGACGAGGGAGATGTTATTTAGCTTTTCAATGATACCTGTTTCAAATCTTAACGATGAGAAATGGCCACATACTCGTCAAATAAATATTGCCGGTCGAAATCACATTCTTATTGAAATTTACATTAATTATGCAAAGTTGGTCAACCAAAAGCAACGCGAGCCTGCTGCAAGATATTTGCATGGGCGTACCGGGCGGGAGGGGGGGCCGCAGCCCCCCCCCCCCAGTTTGTTGGGCAGTCGGGCAATATTCGCTGAACAGTCGGGCAATTTTGGTTTATTAAAAAAAAAATGGGACAAATTCTGTAAATTTTGTGGTCAATTTTGTGATGTTTCCAAAATTTTTGTTAGGTTCCGGAAAATTTTGGTATGTCCGGAAAAAATTTTTGACCCCTAAAATGGTACACCGAAAAATTTTTTTCCGGAATTTATTTTGGCGACCTCCCCCCCTCGCCCCCCCCCCGTCGCCAAAAAAATTTCGGAAAAAATTTTTTCTGTATTTGTCGGGCAAAATCCGGAAAAGTCGGGCAAATTTCTTTCCGCCCCCCTAAATTTTTCCTTCCGGTACGCCCATGGATATTTGTTTCGTAAAACGTTTTGATTACGAATGTTCTCCGTTCAGGGGTTAATTGAGCTCGTTTTAGATAATTTAACATTCAATTTTAATTCCCTCTTGGGAATTGTCTATGTTTCGTTTTCCACGCAATTCTCAACGGTGGAAGAATGTGATTTCGACCGGCAATTTTTATTTGACAAATATGTGGCCATTTCTCATCGTTAGGGACCGGTCATTATTTATGGTTGGGGGTGGCACCGAAGAGAAATGTTTTTTGTGGCGAAAATTTTGGTGACCCAACCATTAAAAAGTCAAAAATTTGATTACCCAACCTCAAGTATCAATTAAAAAATAAATACCCACCCCTGGACAAAAACTTTACAAAAGGATACCATTCAGTTGTCACATATGTCCTTTACCACTTCAATGACATGAGTTTGATAACGGCTTGTGAAATTTTCAGCAGTCTAAAGTTTCATATTGTCTGCACATGTAGTTTCTTTGGAGACACCATTTGTCTCCTGACAAATTGGAAAATGATTAAGATATATATAAATGACTCTGATTGATTCACATATTGTATTTACGTATAACTGTTGACATTGCTTTTTAGTCTCCAAGATTTCAGTGAGTCACGCTTTGGAAATGACAATAATTTTTTATTACCCAACCCTTGAGTTGTTTTGTTTTTCATTTACCCAACCTTTTACTTACTCAAAATTTTGTTTACCCAACCCTTTTCTCTTCGGTGCCACCCCCCGCCATAAATAATGACCGGTCCCTTACGATTTGAAAAAGGTATCATTGAAAAGCTAAATAACAGTTCGTTCGTCCTATGTAAAAATTGAATTGTTTAGCTAAGTTTATGATGCACGACAGCCTGTTGAATTTCCATTGCGTTTTTTTTTAGACACCCTGTATAGGTTCCTTCCCAAACATCGAGCCTGGGCCTCCTGTGTGGAAATCAGTACCACCAGTGCTATTTAAATCACGAGCTGGAGTCTCAAGTTCCCTTCAGCCTGCTCCCTTGGGCCTGCACGCGGGCTAGCTGGAGTCCTTTATTAGTCGCTGGGCAGAGCCCGCAGCGACTCTAGGTTTCGGCATGCATTTGTGTCGGATCTTGGATCGTTAGCCACAAAATGACAATTACGTCATTAATTAATAAAAAATAAAATTACGTCATTACTATTCGTCGCTGAATTCAAGATGGCCGCTTACTACGAGCGAATGGTATCATCGATTTTGTACATATTTTTTTATTTTTCCGATGAACCTTAAAAGTTTTCCGATGAAACAGACTTTATAAAGCGAAAGTCATCTTATGTGAGTAAACTTGGAAGGCTACAAGCTTGAAATAAAGGAGAAAAGTTCACAATTTTCAATTTTACAAAGTTGGAACGGGCCGCAACCTTTGTAAATCGCAACAATAATATTCGCAAACTGCTGTTTACTTGGGTGCTTTTTTACGGCTGTTGATGCAAATAATCCTGTTACGGATAGGTGGTCAAAAGAACATGGTGTAGCGTAACAAGACCGAAATACAACCACAGTGATCACCATTCATCACTACCTGTGTGAAATTTAAACTTTGCCGCTAGGTGTCAGGCTTTTAAATCTGTAATATTTCAGTCATTTTATGATCAATGTATTGTGTTTCTAACGCCGAACGGGAAAATGTTGGAGCCACAGTAATAGACTCTTTCAAGGTCAAGATGCCATAATGAAACACAAAGTGTGAGGGCTGCAAACACAATGGAAATTCCTACTAGTAAATTTGCAAGGTTGTATAAACACAATGGTGAAACAATGTATTGAAATTAAGTGTGTGTGGGGGGGTGATGCAACTCAATGGGTTATTAAAAGTAACTAGCGTGTCAGGGTCTATGCTTGAAATAAAGCCTGCTACTGAGGTCAGTAAAAAGGATTGATGCACATGATTCGTACGCAAAATTCCCATTGGTCAGAAATAAATAGCTTTGTTTTTAAGGTAATGCCAAATTGTTGTTTACGTAATGATATTCCGTAATTGTACTTTAACTACTTTTGGCCATGTTAATGACTGCCTTTGCTGCAGTCAATAACAGTTATTATTATTATTATTTAATATGTAATTCCTGGCCATTCGATGAAAATTGGAATATTTAGTTTTGAGATATTGGTGGAAAAGTTGGCTGTTATTGTCATATTTTAAATTAGCTTTGATAATCTAATGTATCAATTAATTCCAGCAGTTCCCACCCCTGGGCCTTTGCAGCTTTTCCTAATCACGGGGGTGGGGCTATTGCCGATATTTTTTAGCCCTGGGGTGAGGATTTTAACATTTTCCATCATGGGGGATTTAGTAGATTTGCTGGAAAACTGGTATTTAATTTGATTGCAAATGGCTTGTGGACATAGCCATTTTCTTCCCAGAAATGGCTAATACCTCGGGGGGTGGGGGGATGGGCACTGCTGGAATTGACTGATACGTAATTAACTATTGCCATTTTGATTGGTTGTTATTTTGTGCATCCCAATCACTGTCCACTTTTTATTTACTTCAGTAACAGGCTTACTCTGCGAGCAAAGTCCTCTTGTATTTCTTCTTAGCACGAGAGAGACTCTGCAGAACTTGTGTATTTTCTTTGTGGAGCCGACAATCTAAAAACTTGGATAATTATGAGTAATTTCAGGTTTGATACCAGTTTTATAACCGGTTTTGATCCGAACCGGAAATTACTTATTAAATCTTCTTCTGGGAAATAGACAGTTGCTTAGCAATCTTTGCGCATGCTAAAATGAATTTATACACAAGTTCTGCAGAGTCTCTCTCGCTTCGCCGTGCCG